ACCCCCAAGGAAACTCCTTTTCCAGCTGACCGGCTGCTCACATCAGATCACAAAATGGGAGGTGATTCAGTGTCTGCCAAACCACTGAGAATTACCTAGCCAAGCTGACATGTAACATTAACCATCACACACTCTAACAATCAGCAGCGTGGGATCTGATGGAGTTCCACTGCCCAACATACTACTCCCACTCCTATTCATTCCACCCAGGGCTGGTTCTCTGAGAAAACCAGGAAGTGTGTTTTCTCAGGTTATACAGGCCCCAATATTCAGGTCACTGGTTCCCAAACTTCAGTTTTACTGGTTTTTGTTTTGTTGATGTGAGAACCAGGACAGAATTTCTAACTTTTTATAAGGTTACATTTATTAAAACAACAACCAGCATTTCAAATAAAAAGATATTCTAAATAAGTACAATCAAAAACCATCAAACCCATTGCCATCAGGTCAATTCCGACTCATAGCCACCCTATAGGACAGATTAGAACTGCCCTGTCGGGTTTCCAAGGAGCGGCTGGTGGATTCGAACTGCCACCTTTCTGGTTAGCAGCCTGTGCTCTTAACCACTGTGCCATCAAGGCTCCACAAGTACAAAAAGGATGTAGAATAATGGGAACTCCTGAACTGCCCATGGGGAAACTGGAACAGCCAATTTGGCAGAGGGGGTCACATTATCTTGCCATTTTAAACATGTATACTCCTTTGGCCCAGAAATTCCATCCCTGTCATGGATTGAATTGTGTCCCCCAAAAATATGTGTATCAGTTTGGCTAGGCCATGATTCCCAGTGTTGTGTGATTGTCCACCATTTTGTCATCTAATGTGATTTTCCTATGTGCTGTAAATCCTACCTCTATGATGTTAATGAGCGGGGATAGGTGGCAGCTGTGTTAGTGGGGCAGGACTCAATTTACAAGATTGGATCGTGTCTTGAGGCAATCTCTTTTGAGATATAAAAAAGAAGCGAGTAGAGAGACAGCAGAACCTCATACCACCAAGAAAGCAGCGCTGGGAGTAGAGCGCATCCTTTAGACCCAGGGTTCCTGCGCGGAGAAGCTCCTAGCCCAGGGAAAGGCTGATGAGAAGGACCTTCCTCCAGAGTCCACAGAGAGAGAAAGCCTTTCCCTGGAGCTGATGCCCTGAATTTGGACTTCTAGCTTACTAAACTGTGAAAAAATAAATTTCTCTTTGTTAAAGCCAACCACTTGTGGTACTTCGGTTATAGCAACACTAGATAACTAAGACAACCCCTAAGTAAATGTATATCCCAGAAAAAACACTTTGACATATACAATGTTTATGGATGTATTCTCTAAGTAGAACTCTCCCCCAAAAAAGAAAACAACCAAAAGTCCATCAATAAAAGAGGAGATAAATTATGGCACATCCATACTACAGAATACTAGGCAGAGGTGAAAATGAATTAATTATAGCTACATACATACACACTTGGACAAATTTTAGAAACGTCAGTGAAAAAAAAAGACATAGTATGATCCCACTTTTCATAAACTTCAAAAGCAAGCACAAATAAACAATACATTGTGTAGAGATATAGATCCATGTGTGGTACTGTTAAAAATTATAAAGAAAAGCAAAGGAATGTTAAAAACAAAGTTGAGAATGGTGATTCTTGGCAAGAAGAGGTAGAGGGATGACTTGTATACAATGCGGGAGGAATGCACTGACAATGCCCTAGTTCTCAAGCTAGCTAGGGGTTCACAAATGTTCTTTATACACACACACACACACACACACACACACGTTACATACATTACTTTATAAGGAGACCTGGTGATGCAACCGTTAAGAGCTCACTTGTTAACCAAAAGGTTGGTAGTTCAAACCCACCCAGTGGCTCCATGAGAGAAAGACCTGGCAGTCTGCTTCCATAAAGATTAACCAAAAAAACTCAAATCCATTGCCGTCGAGTCAATTCCGACTCATAGTGGCCATACAGGACATACAGGACAAAGCAGAATTGCCCCATAGAGTTTCCAAGGCTGTAATATTTATGGAAGCAGACTGCCACATCTTTCTCCTGCAGAGCAGCTGGTGGGTTCGAACCGCTGACCTTCTGGTTAACCACTTTGCCACCAGGGCCTAGAAAACCCTATGGAAGTTTTACTCTGTCACAAGGGGTCATGATGAGTTGAAAAGTGACTCCACGGCACCAGTACCACCACCACTGAGGACCCACTGGTGGGGACTAGTAATTAAATTTTGGATTGTGCTGTGTTCTCCAGCAAGTAGACATAAGTAACTAAATAAACCCCCAAAAAATATCATTCTTTTGCTTGTCATTCCAGAATGTTTACCACCCCATCCCAACCCCCTCACCTACCAGGTGGGAAGGTATTTTGCATTGATGAGGCTGTTTCCCTGGAAAGAAGAATATAAAAAGGCTGAGTCTCCCTTTAAGTCACACCCAACCAGTCACTGGAGACGTGAGGCAAAAACACACAAGGTCATTTAGCTCTTCCAAAGTTATTGAAGGTGTAGGAAGAAAATACACCAAGCTTCCAAACCTCAAGCCACAATTTAGCCTCAAACCACATTATTTATGGTTTGGGATTTTCCCTGGGCGTACAAATAATTTGTGTGGGGCACTGTCTGGTAAATGCTTCTCCCACTATGAGTCAATCAAACTTGATCCTGCTCAAGCAGTCTGTTGTTGTTGTTGTTAGGTGCCGTCCAGTCGGTTCCAACTCACAGCAACCCTACAGGACAGAGCAGAACTGCCCCATAAGGTTTCCAAGGAGCAGCTGGTGGATTTGAACTGCCAACCTTTTGGTTAGCAGCCAAGCTCTTAACCATTACACCGCAAGGCAGTCTGGCTATCCTAATATTAAAGAGTTCAGAGATGCTCCCTCCTTGTTCACCAACATTTTTCCTTCAGTTCATTCCAGTCATCCCCTTCTTCCCTCTCTGCCTTTAACATCCCTAAGGCTCTTCCCTTTCTTTTTACAAATTAAAAACCAGGTTACTTTTACAGAAATCCAAAAGACTAGTGAAAGGGTAGAGTCTCTGGGTGGTGCAAACCATGAACACACTCACCCGCTAACCAAAAGGTTGGAGGTTTAAGCCCACCCAGGGGTACCTTGGATGAACAGCCTAGTGATCTACTTCCCAAAAATCAGCTATTGGAAATCCTATGGAGCACAGTTCTACTCTGACACACATGAAGTCACTTCAAAGGCAAGCTGCTTAGAGGAAGGGTGAGCACCATTTTAAAAATACTTGAGAACATAACACTAGCTCACTATGGTCTATCAAGAGCCCTGGTGGAGCAGTGGTTAAGAGCTCAGCTGCTAACCAGAAGAAGGTCGGCAGTTGGAATCCACCAGCCAATTCTTGGAAACCCTATGGGGCGGTTCTACTCTGTCCTATGGGGTCACCATGACTCAGAATCGGCTCAATGTCAAGCAGTTTGGTTCAGGTATGGTCCATTAGCGATCTCTTTTCATACAAAAAGACTCCCCGGATTCTTCCTTCCAACTGCACAAAATAGCTTAACAAAGAAAATGTAATTAAAATAAATTCTGAGGGAGGCTGGAGAAGGAGAGGAGGAGTGCAAAACAAACTCACCTTAAGGAAATTCAGCTATGAGTTATATTTAGCTTCAGAGCTAAAAAATTTGCTATTACGTCTGTGTTTTGCCTGGCTCCCTAGCAAACACTACAAACTGAGAACTAATTTACAAAAGCCCAAATGACTTAGCATCTGATACACCTCCCAAGGTCCTGACTTTCTGGGTTTCGCAACTGAGAAGGAGTCGCTAGTGAAGGTCAGGTGGAGTTCAGAATCGGATCTTCAGTCAGCAGATAATCGAAGGTGGCTCAGTCAACAGTATCAGAATAAGGCAAACCTCCAAATCTCACTTCTTCATTGCTAAAGGAATGTGAGTGCAAAGGGCAGCAGGTATGCTCATGTTTGAAGAAAGAAAAAAAAAATCACTGAGATGCAGGGAAAGAAAAGCTCAACGGTGAAACACTCAGCAGTGAAGTGTTGCCTCCAGGATGCCCCACCCAACTCAACTTAAATCAACAGCTATTTATTGAGTCACTACTAAGCACAGGTAGACTGCGTAGTCTGCACCTAAAAAAAAAAAAAAAAACCGTTGCCGTGGAGTCAATTCCGACTCAGAGTAGAATTGCCCCATAGGGTTCCCAAGGAGCGGCTGGTGGATTCGAACTGCTGACCTTATGGTTAGCAGCTGTAGCTCACCATAGCTCTTAACCACCGGCAAATAAAGAAGACAGCTCCAATCATCTGGAGGATTTCTTACCAGGAATTACTGTGCTTTGTTGCCATTTTTAATTTTAATGTTAGCAGACAATTCCCGGACAGTTCAAATAAATTCACCAGAACTCTTCTCCCACTAACCTGTCTTACGCAGAAGGTGGAACCCCAAAGATAAGCGACTGAATACCTTAAGGCCCTTGGAGGAGCAGACGATCCTGTGTGCCCCTCCTCCCTGTCCAATGGACATCCCACACAAGTCCCACTGCAGAAGTCTGAAACACAGGTCTCTCATTCAAAATCCACAGACTACAGATTAGCCAGGCTTCTTTTTTAAGTTAGGTCATCTAAAATTAACTCGATTTAACTTGAATTAACTTAAATTAGACCTGACTACACTGATCAAAGAAACACTGGTTCAGTTTATTTTACCAGAAAGTTTAAAACTTGGTGGCAGGAAATGAAGCAACCCAAAACTTCAACCACTAAAAAGTTCAGTCTAACCTGTAGTCCGGGATGTACCAATTTTTTTTTCCACACTTAAAAGGAGAAAAACACGAACTCAAAAAAAAAAAAAAAAAGCCCACCTGCCGGTCTGCAGCTGCAAAGTGTGCTATTGAGTGGGGGGAGGGGGGTGCGTAAATAACACTTCTTCACCCGCCCCCCCACCCCGCCCAGCGTGACGCCCGCAATCCCTCAGGGAGAAAGTAGTATCTGCGTTCCCGCCGCTGTGCCCGCCCTTGGCCGCCTGCGGTTACCTGGTCCAGCGGGATGCCCAGGAGTTCGCTAAGCGGGTGCAGACAGGTGGAGCCTGTGGTGCGGTAGGTGAGGCTGGACCGCGGCTCTGCTGCCATCCTGCATCTTCGGGAGGCGGCCGGCCCGGCCCCAGTCTGCGCCACCCTGATGGGCGTCCTCCAGCCCGAGTGCTCGTGGGTGGCTGCGCCGAAGGCTGCGCGGACGCGTAGCTCGCAGAGAACCGAGTGGCTAAGCCGGGAAACGAGAAACCACGCCAACTCGCAGGTCGCAAACTTGGCGCTGGCAACGCAGCCACGGGCCCCGAAGGAGGGCCGGCGCCCAGCGCGCCGGGCTTCCCGCGCCCCTCCTCTCGGCGCTCATTGGCCGGGCCGCCCGGGAGGGAGGGAGGGAGGAGAAGTGGGGATTCGGAGCCCGGCCCCCTAGCGCCACCTGGCCCGCCCTGCCTGGCCTGAACCGAGGCCGACAGACTGAGGGAAAGTGACGCCAGCGGGTGTCCGCGGCTGGCGGCGCGCACCATGGGAGGTGCCGCTTCTTTCCGCCGAGTTCGCCGTCCTATCTCCCGCTAGAGGAAAGGACCTCCTCCCCGGTCACCTAGTCAGGGGCCTTTCACTGGAAAGGACACCCCTCTGCTCCGCTCTGTTTCGGTTTCGCCGCAGTCGCAGCACCACACCCCACCCCACCCCGCCTCCGCGCCCGCCAAGATTTCCTGCATTTTTCCTTCCAGCTGTCTCCTTCGCAAACCCTTGCTGCAAAGGGTTAATATGCGAGTAGCTGGCAAACCTGGGAGAGGCTCACCGCACCCAGACTCTTTACCTTCCTCTGATCAAGACAGTTTATTACTCCCTGATCTTTTCCCTTCGTGTCACACAAGCAAACGCTGGGGACTGCTAGCTTCTGGTCACTTCCCTCCCTTTGGGTTGAGAATTATTTTGCTCCTGTAAGAAACGGTGTTACTGTTATATCATGTGCATTTTGATGAGTTATTTGCATGCCGGAGTCATAAAACGGGGTACCTTGCCCCTTCACTTTCTCTCTGCACCTAGATACCCAAGTGTATCACTGTTAGTTGGAAAACTTCGTCAATTTATTAATAGGTTTTGAGAATCATAAAAGTACTGAAGATCCTGGCCAGGAATTGCTATGTGCTAGCTGATGAAGGAGAGCCCTGGTGGCTGCAAACCGAAAGGTCAGGTCCGTGGTTGGAACCCACCCAGTGACTCTCAGGGAGAAAAGATCTCTGTAAAGATTACAGCCTGGAAAACCCAACGTGGCCATTCTGCTGTCTCACATGGGGTCGCTATGAGTCAGATTCGATTTCACTGCACCTAACACCGACAACAGCTAATGAAGAAGGCTTTTCACAGAAGCACTGCTCTGGACTGATGGGCAGAAGCCCCAACGAAAAGTGAGCTCATGTGGCATGCAGGCTTCAGTGGGAAACCAAGCCCAAAGCTTTGCATCAGCAGTTTAGCTGAGAGCTATTACTGAGCCAAGAATCTTGCTGGAGAATCCAACCAAACAGGAGGGCAATGATTTTTGTGCAGACTAACATTGTTATCACTGTAGCCTCTCCGGATTCAAATCAAACTGAAAGCCCATTGAAGTCTGTTGACAACTTCCTCTTCAAAGCCCAGGCCTCACCCTTGCCTTCTTCAGAAATTTCATCACCAGCAAGCTGTGCTGAACATTAAATTGTGGGGCCAGGGTTTCTCACCTCATGTCTCCTGCTGAGGAGCAAAAAATGTCACACTACTCCGTCCCCATGGAGATTTTATAGGAAGCCACCACAACCACCAGATGACAATCTCTGCTTTATCCCCCACCCCACACCCAAAAAACAACACAAAAACTCACACAAAGGCACATACTTGAGGATCTCTAGGCTAGACCAGACATGCCAAAGATGAAGAAATTTAAGATTTTTACCAACTTCTGCAGCTTGAAATTGATCAACCAGGCAATCAAGATGCATTGATAATTACTGGGGATTGGAATGCAAAAGTTGGAAACAAAGAAGGATCAGTAGTTGGAAAATATGGCCTTAGTGACAGAAACTACCCCAGATGCCCAGCTACCACCAGTGACCACCCTGACAGGGAACACAACAGAGAGTCCCTGATGGAGCAGGAGAAAGGTGGGGTGCAGAACTCAAATTCTAGTAAAAAGACCAGACTTAATGGTCTGAGACTGGAGGAACCTCAGAAAGCATGGCCCCCAGATTCTCTATCAGCCCAGAACTAAAACAATTTCCGAGGCCAACTCTTCAGACAGGGATTGGACTGGACTGTGGGACATAAAATGATACTTGTGAAGAGTGTTCTTCTTAGCTCAAGTAGATACATGAGACTAAACAGGCAGCTTCTGTCCAGAGGTGAGATGAGAAGGTGAAGAGGGTTAGGAGCTGGTTAAATGGACATGGGAGATCGGGGTGGAAAGGAGGAGTTTGCTGTCACAGTATAGGGAGAGCAATTCGGATCACATAACAATGTATGTATAAATTTCTGTATAAGAGACTAACTTGAAATGTAAACTTTCACTTCAGCTACAACAATAAAAAAAAAAAAAACGACCCCAGAGATTGCATGATAGAATGGTGCAAGACCAATGACTTATTCATTGCAAATACCTTTTTTCAACAACGTAAACAGTGGCTATACATTTAGACCTTGCCAGATGGAATACATAGGAATCAAATTGACTACATCTGTGGAAAGAGACAATGGAGAAGTTCAATATCATCAGTCAGAACAAGGGCAGGGCCCGACTATAGAACAGACCATCAATTGCTCATATGCAAGTTCAAGATGAAGCTAAAGAAAATTAAAACAGGTTACGAGAGCCAAAATATGACCTTGAGTATATCTCACCTGAATTTAGAGACCATCTCAAGAGTAGAGTTGATGCATTGAATATTAATGATTAAACACCAGACAAGTTGTGGGATGACATCAAGGATATCATACGTGAAAAAAGAAAAAGGTCATTAAAAAGACAGGAAACAAAGAAAAGACCAAAATGTATGTCAGAAGAGACTCTGAAATTTGCTGTTGAATGTAGAGCAGCTAAAGCAAATGGAAAAAATGATGAAGTAAAAGAGCTGAACAGAACATTTCAAAGGGCGGCTCAAGAAGACAAAGTATTATAATGACATGTGCAAAGACCTGGAATTAGAAAACCAAACAAGAAGAATACGCTTAGAATTTCTCAAGCTGAAAGAAAAAACTCAAGTGTCAAGTTGCAATGTTGAAGAATTCTATGAGCAAAATATTGAACGACACAGGAAGCATCAAAAGAAGATGGAAGGAATACACAGAGTTATTGTACCAAAACGTTCCGCCATTTCAGGAGGTAGCATATTATCAAGAATCAATGGTATTTAAGAAAGAAGTCCAAGCTGCACGGAAGGCATTGGTGGAAAACAAGACTCCAGGAACTGATGGAGTACCAATTGAGAAGTTTTAACAAATGGAGGCAGCGCTGAGGGTGCTTACTCATCTATGCCAAGAAATTTGGAAGACAGCTACCTGGCCAATCATCAGGAAGAAGTCCATATTTGTGCCCATTCCAAAGAAAGGAGATCCAACAGAATGCCAAAATGATTGAACAATATCATTAATATCACATGCAAGTAAAATTTTACTGAAGATCACTCAAAAACGATTTCAGCAGTACATCGACAGGGAACTGCAGAATTTCAAGCCAGATTCAGAAGAGGATGTGGAACAAGGGATATCATTGCTGGTGGAAGCTGGATCTTGGCTGAAAGCAGAGAATACCAAAAAAGATGTTATCTGTGTTATGTTGACTATGCAATGGCGTTCGACGGTGTGGATCATAACAAATTATGGATGAAATTGCAAAGAATGGGAATTCCAGAACACTTAACTGTGCTCATGTGGAAATTATACATAGACCAAGAGGCACTCATTTGAACAGAATAAAGGAATAATTCATGGTTTAAAATCAGGAAAGGTGTGTGTCATGGGTGTATCCTTTCACCATACTTATTCAGTCTGTATGCTGAGAAAATAATCTGAGAAATTGGACCATATGAAGATGAATGCAGCATCAGGATTGGAGGAAGACTCATAACACAACCTTCCTTGCTAAAAGTGAAGAGTACTTGAAGCACTTACTGATAAAGATCAAAGACTACAGCCTTCAGTATGGATTACACCTCAACTTAAAGAAAACAAAAATCCTCATAACTGGAGCAATAAACAACATCATGAGAAACGGAGAAAAGATCGAAGTTGTCAAAGATTTCATTTTACTTGGATCCACAGTCAACCCCACAGAAGCAGCAGTCAAGAAATCAAACAACGTATTGCATTGGGCAAATCTGCTGCAAAAGACCTCTTAAAGTGTTAAAAAGCAAACATGTCACTTTGAGGACTAAGGTGTACCTGACCCAAGCCGTAATATTTTTCAATCACCTCATATGCATGAGAAACCTGGACGGTGAATAAGGAAGACTGAAGAAGAATTGATACTTTTGAAATATGGTGATGGCAAATACTACTGAATATACCATGGAATGCCAGGAAAACAAGCAAATCTGTCTTGAAAGAAGTACAGCCAGAATGTTCCTTAGAAGCAAGGATGGTGAGACTTTGTCTCACGTACTTTGGACATATTATCACGAGGGACCAGTCCCTGGAGAAGGACATCATATTTGGTAAACTAGAGGGTCAGCGAAAGAGAGGAAGACCCTCAAGGAGATGGATTGACACAGTGGCTGCAACAGTGGGCTCAAACACATCAACTATTGTGAGGATGGTGCAGAACCGGACAGTATTTTGTTCTGTTGTACATAGGGTGGTTATGAGTTGGAACCAAATGGATGGCACCTAATAACAACAACAAGGCTAGACTGGCTAATTAACTATCACACAGTTCTGGATAACGACCAGCACAGAAGCAATATTCATTTTATCTTCAGCAAGATGACAGCTTAAGAGAGGTGTATGGGGGGGGGGCAAGATGGTGGAGTAGTCAGACGCTTCCAGTGGACCCTTACAACAAAGACCCGAAAAAACAAGTGAATCAATTATATATGACAATCTAATTTCCCTGAATATCTAAGGCAAAGTTGAGGAACCAGACTGAGTGGCAGGGGGAGGGAGAGACTGTTTGGAAGCAGCAAGAATTTGCCAGGCCTGAGCCAGTGAGAGCCTGAGCCCTTCAGGCCTAAGCAGCTCATGGGTGAGCAGTGAGGCAGGCAAGCAGCGGTGCTCGGGAGGTGCGTTTTCCACATCGGGAGAGACTCAGCATCAGAG